TTACAATTCTAAAGACATAAAAACCTTTAGCACTTCCTCCAAACTACGTGAGGCATCAACATGAAAATCAAAGCAAATTAAATCTGGCAATATTTTTTGGACACAATCCTTGGTCACGGATCAACATAAGCTGCAGGCACAAATGATCTATTAGCTGGGTTTTGTAAGTAGTACAGGGAGGAAGCCTCTGTCTACAGCTAACAGCTACTTGTAAACTTAACACACAAAGAAAGAAGTCATTTTTAATGCTGAGTTATATTGGTTTCAGTTGCATGTCTCATTTCCAACTCAACTGTCCTACTGGCATTGGGAATGCAAGCAGAAAACACTCTAAAGAAATGTAGTTCTCAGGGGACCACACCTGTGAGTCGTTAAACCTTGGGGAGCCCCCAGAAGTGTATTAGTCAGAACGTACCATTACTGAAATAAACCTCAACACTGTTCAACCTCAGACCAACATGGCCTTCCAATAACCAAAGAAAGTATTTTTGGATACTCCCTTATTTCCCATGGGTTTGTCACAGTGGATGGATCTGCATGTTTGACTTGGCAAAGATTTCCTGGAGCAACCCTCCCATTTATCTGGGCTTGGGACCAGCACTAGGAGTGCATTAGCTTGTGACCCCCTGAGGCTGGGTTTGTATCTCCTCCAAAAACAAATCAAGGTAAACTAAATTATTAAAGTGATAAAAAATGTGTATCTAGAACAATAGGTAAACCAAATGCAATTGGTAATTGTCCCTAAAGCATGAATATAAATTGGTAGAGTAACATAAACTGTCTGAAATGCAAAACATAAACAGTTCCTGATGAAATACAGACTAAGCGAACACAGTCTAGCCACAGAGAACCAGTGACACAAGAAAGCTGGCTTATGAACCGAGGAAGAGGCACCACAGAACAGTTCTTCTTAAAATATAACAAATAATATCAGAGCTGAAAACCAAATTTGGTTTGTGAATCTTCACATCGGTGGATGACAGTGAAAAACAGCTGATTCTGTTAGTTGAGGGACCTGCAGCATCTATCTAAACTATCTATTGGGGTTTGTGATACAGCCTCAAAAATCATATTACAATATTTAAAGAAAATTTACAATAATGATAATTCTAACAATATAGGACAAATAAAATGCTGATAAAACCTTTTCCATCCTTCTTTTCCAATGAGCTACTGTCATTGATGACAAACTACCTTATTCAAAGTGTGAATCTTTCGCCACAAGGTGAAAGCAGAAGCAGCATTAGAGCATAATAGTAGTGACACAGCATTATACATAGTGACACAGCATAAGTCAAATACTGGTGGTGGAGTTGTCCCTGTAATTCTAAGTATAACACAACCTGCACATCACCACCTGATAGTATCTCCTCCTCCTGTACGTTCATACCCTGGTTTTGCATGATGGTGTCTTTTTGCCCCAAGTGATATAACAAGTTAGTTTCTACGTTTATCAGGAACAGTTTTCTCGTATATTTTGCAAAGCAATTTTTTTGTTGGAGTTTGTTGAAATAGCTTCCTTTTTACCAAATCAGAGTTTGAGATCCAGCTCTCTATGTCAGACATGCCTGTTCTTATCAAGTTGTTGTGCTCACTAAGGAAAATAGATGCTTTTTATATCCCATAAAAATGTATTTCCCATATTATCACAGAGGATTTATCCCTACTACTTACATAAAACATTGTTAAAAGTTTTAAAAATCAGTTTAAAATACAAAGAGGAGTACAGAGAGAACTGCCCATGGCAGCGTAAAAGTCCCAGCTAAAATTGATTACCAATGCAAAACTTGGCTCACAAGCAAAGTGGAATTAAATACTTCAATCTCCAATCACTGGGGCCTTTTTGGCCAAAATCAATATACATTACTGTCACGAGGGGTGTTCCCCTGATGGTTGGAAAGAGAGTGGAGCTTTTTTTGTACACGTATTAAAATAAATTGATCACAACACACCTAAGAACACATAAATGACTGCATCATCTTGGTGGTCCGTTTGATGTTAGTATGTAGTAAATGATCTTTTAACAACTATTAACTTTTTTGCACTTGCCTCGCAAAAATGCAAAGGTACACACAGTGGAGGCTTTGATCACACTGACTGGCACAAATAATACAACAGTTTACACAATTAAAACACCATCACAGGCTGTGTGTTAATTGGTGTTAACACATACTCACACAGAAACTCCCTAATCACCCTGTAATACCTAAAGTCTGAACCATTAGGCCCAGTGGGTTTGTGTGTCTGGTCTCCCCTGTATGTTTGCGGCTCTTTTCTACTATTACAGCTGCTGCTATTCCTACTATAACTCATGCCAAGCAGGAGGGATTAACGAGTCTCTGACAACACAGCTGGATTTCTCTGCCTACTAACCACTTTAACAATATGCTTTGATTTTTTTTTTTCATCTAAAAATACGAAAAATTGTAATATTTCTAAGACTATGTTACAGTGCAACCTTGCAATTTTGTGGCTGCTTTCATCTGTAAAATGTCTTACAGTACCTTAGGCAAAAAAAAGGAAAGAAAATGTCTTTAAAGTTTATATCTGAAGCTACTTGGAAGAGAACTGCATTGCAGTCTATTAAGCATGACTTCTTAATAGACTATACCATGTCAGCATGTCTATTTCCCCAGCACATAATATGTGATATATTTGTCATATTCTTTGGACTTTTGTGGAGCTACTGGTCAATTTTCATACATACACACAATGTAAAAACCAATGTGCAGACATATGTTTAGCTGCCCCCCGAGTAACACACAATAACAAAAAATCAAAGGTTAACTAGGCTCTGATAGCTCACTGCATTAAAGTATCTGTTGTGTTACACCATTTCTAATCTGTATTATAAAGCACACAGACATACAAGAGTAAACAACAACAACAACAACAAGGAATCAGGAAACATACTTTGTATTGTTGCATTGCATTGTTTGCATTATGTTGCATTGATGGTTCTTTTGCAACCCTCTTTTCATCGTTATGCCATTGTTATGATTTTTAGCATTATTGATAATCAGTGTTCTGACTTTCTCACTCCCATTTTAGAACCAAACACAGCAGCGCTTTAAGTGTCGTTTAAAATTCCTTAAGAAAACTCTAATGCAATCTTCACATTAACTGAATTTCTCTGGAACAGAAAAAGCTTGATAAAAGTTGATTTATAGTTGCTGTTACAGCAGCTGATAAGATCAAAGAAACATCCCAACAGAGTTATGTGCCAAAGGTAGTTTGGATTTTTCAAATACGGTAACAAATCAGATATAATAAAGCTCTGTAAATTTTAGAGAAGGGCATTTCTGGATGTCAGCAACAGGGGGGAAAGGGGAACCACAGAAGCCAATAACACTAATGTAGTGTTGCAAATGAATCTTCTGCTAACATTAACTTCCCACACTGACACAATATGACACATTTTGCCTTTGGATTTTCAGATTTGACTCATCTCTGTATTTAGCACGTTACCCTTTTTCACACATAGCCACCAGACAGTAAATAGCCATAAAGAGAGCAACGTGCTGCAAAGACACGCATCACTATTTTGGGGACTTTCTTTTAGTTTTGACACATTTATAGGCACAAAATTGATAACAGGAGCAATTTACAAACTAATCGCTGATTTCAATCCTTACTTATGTACCTATGACCCTTAACTTTTGTTTTTCAACAATTGTTTAACAACACTTTAATTAGAATACTTAAACTTGTGTATACAAATAGTGTGCTAGTATAATAATGTGTGACAATGGCATAAATTTGTTCAAGGGTTCAACACACAGAGCATAAACAATAGATCATAGCAAAGTCTGAAATATGAAGACAATACGAGACAGTTACATAACTGTTACAAGCTGTTTCTATGACGCATTAATGAGTTACTGATAGTAAAAAATGAGAGAAATAAGTGATATGAGATCGGATGAAGCAGTGCTCTCCTACATTCATTTTACAGTTGTAATAATACTCTAGCTATCATTCTGTCATCATGTCTTCATTTCTCATTCTTTCTTTTTACTCTTCTTTAACTTGACCTCATTTTTATTTTCTTGTTTTTTTTAATCACTGTTGTATATATATAAAGACTTTGCCCTCACAATGAGCCTGTGGCACTTTAACTATTTTGTTTATTTATTTCAAACTATACTTTTTTTTTTTTATCCTACTATGGTAACAATGTAGCTTCCCTTGTGGGATCAATAAAGTATCTATCTGTGTAGATATGTATATTCTTCATTAAATATAGCTGCTGTAACTTGGGCTTTCTACATGATTGCACAGCTGAATGAGGCTAATAAATGGGGACCCCACCATGCAGCTTACAAAGAATTGCATGCACCGCTCCCGCTGCCCGCTTCACTCAGGCAACAACAAGGCAGACCCACCTCTCCAATAGAAAGCCTTTCACTTAGCTAACCTCTTTGACAAAGGCAGCAGAAATGCAACATGAGCACCAGAATTGAGTCAAAGTGAATGCAAATGTGCCTAATTTGCAATCAAAAGGGTCAGCACTCAAAATCAAAAGAGGCACTTTGCTGTTAATGGGGTGCTGAGGTTTATGTTTGACAATGTAACATGTAATTTCTCAAAAATAGTTTAAGCACACATTTTGATTTTGTCCGTAGGTGAATAAATCTAGTTTGTAGTATACATCAGGATCATATGGGGTGCAATGTTAAAAGGAGGTTATATTTAGACTGAATTTTATCCACTGAACTTCTCTTGTTAAAGAAATTGGATTTTTCAACCAGAAGATAGACTGGCTTATTAAAGCAAAGAAAGGGTCACCATAGGGGAGCTGAGGTCAGTAAAAGAAAAAAAAAGAAAAAGTTACATATGCATGAACCAGTAAATATGTTTAATATATCCAGTTCAATACACAGTACAATAAAAAAAAACTCAGCCCTTTAGGTTTCAATATGAACAACCCTATCTACAAAAACGGTCGTGTTAACTGTTCTTTGTTGCATCACTTTGTGTAGCTATTCCTTAATTCATACCTTTCAAAGTGAGTTAAGGGGTCTCTGGTCAGATGTGCAGGGTGCTCCACCAGTAGAGGGGGCGGAGCTTCAGAGATCCCACTTCCTCCTTTGCTCGTCACTCATACATGCTCCTTGAAGAGAAAAGAGAAATAAATTTAGAATAAATATTTATTGTGCTAAGGATGTTAAAAGACACCAAACATGCTGGCTAGAGGAAACTCTTATGCAATCTTGAAACTAGAATAAGGAAATGCTTTAAAACAGCTCTTCATTTATTTGTTGTTTTCAAAATTCATGCATCGTACATAGGGAGAGTATTTTTTCAAATGCCTGGGAAAGGAGACATTTTCTGATCTATGAAAAAAACCACAGAAAGCCAAAAACACACTTCTTTGCTTTGCATGTACAATAATGGTGCTATTCTTTCCTGTAAGATTACAAAGTTAGCGACACAATCTCACAAGGCAAGCTCCCACTCAGCAAATTATGCAAATGAGTCATGATTCAGTCAAACGTGCCAGTATAGTGGACTTTGGAAAATTCTCAGTCAATTAAAAATTGGCATCCAAGGTCCGCATCTCTTTTTATTATGTCATAAACCAATCATCGTTCCTCTTTCCAGCGGAAATCTAAAGGTCAAACATGACCAAAGACGCCGCCAGCTTCGCAGCAGGATAAAAAAAGCAAGCGGGAAAACAGAGGGATGATGGGGATGATGGGGTGGAGGGAAGCAGGGATAGACAACTGACGAATTCTCAGAACTGCTCATTTCACTGGATTAATCTGCTATTTTTGAAAAGTCCACAGAGAGCAGAGATGAGAGCGAATATGACTCAGAGTGGGCCTGTGTGTATGCGGGTCTGCGTGTCCTTCAATCCGGCCCTTGGCCTACTTTAAAGCCAAGTCATCATTCTGGTCCACTGGGGCCTCATATTGCCAGCCAGTGTATATATGTGTATATTGAGGAATTGTATTACAAAAGCAGCCATACCATAAATCTCTTCCTGCCAGCCCACACACTTCTGCATTAGTGAGTATGAGGAGGCTGTGCTGCAGTGCAGGTATGCCTCAGTATGAGAAGAGCCGTGGCCACCAAAGGTGTCTGCCTGTCTCCTTCTGGGTGAGTCATCAATCCTCATCTCTCTCTTACTTTATCTCTCATATACGTCGTAAGCCGTCTCTCTGTCTGCCCTTCTTTTCTCACTCTTTACATGATTTAAATGAACCTCCACGAAGTTTGAGTGGAATGTAATTCATCTGCAAATTGGAAGCAGGACAAGCAAGAGCTTCTAAAAATACTCATCAGATTCCCCTGACAATGACAAAATAAAACTACAGAACACCCACCACACACTCACACATGACCACACAACACTGCAGTGCAAATAGCAACGCTCTCTGTCTTTGTCTGTGCAAACCTCTTGCTCTTTTTAAAGTCAGAATGCTTTCTACCTGTCTCATTCTCTGCGAGTTTATGAGCGCTACATGTCTGGGTGGAAAAAAAGATGACAAAAACCACAAAACCCAAGACGGCAGACAGCAAGCACAGCAGTGATGATGAGAGAATGAATATTGTGAGAAAAGTGTCTGGCAGTAGTGCCCTTTGTAACGCTCGTGATAATAAACTAATGTGAAAATCTAAATGAGAGAAAGCCTCAGTGTTTGTGAAGTTTTGAATGACTGTTTTTTACAAATGTAATCTTGACTTTGTACCTTTACAACCACAAAATGATTTCGTAATAGATACTCCTGCTACCAAAGCATGCCCCATTTCAGAAATGAAGCACACACAAACACACTGTTCACAAGGCATAAAATATAGTGGCACATTGTTTTGGCTTACATATGGACAGAAGTATGAGGCAGAGAAAGTGAGCATGCATGGACTCGTCCAAACACTGGCAAACACACAGTTGTGCCAGTGAAATCTGACATTATGTAAACCAACACAAGAACCCTAATCCAGAGAGCAGAAAGAGAAGTCTATGCTGTGAGTGTCCACTTTGTTGCATGCTAAGAGGTGTGATGTGGTTGTGAAGGCCGAACACATAAATTTTCCTTACTTATAGTAAGGAACTTTTTTATTTATGTTTGGGGATAAAGCCATTTATTTTTTTCTTGCTGCACCAAAATCATACCAGCTTTTACCTTCGGAAATGAGATAACTCCAAAACACGGCCTGCATATATTGTAGCACTGACACTGCTATGCACATGAGCCAGATGTGACTGAGCCAGTTTTACTGCAGTGAGCTAATTTTATCGCTGTAAGGCCTTACATAAAAATATGGGAAAATGTATCTGATTATGGCTGATGCATTGTAAAAAATAAAATAAAAAAAGCAGCAAAAAAAAATTTTCTGGCACAACTTCACCTGCTTCCAAGGTGCATGGAGAGGATGAAAGAAATCACATAGCCAACAGGTTTCGGCTTGTGGCCTTCATCAGGGTCATCATGACCCTGATGAAGGCCACAAGCCGAAACACGTTGGTCAATTATTAAAGTTAATTTTAAAGTTTATTAACTAAAGTCAATTAATAATTGACGCGTTGGTCAATTATTGTTGTTGTTATAAGTTGTTCATCTTCCCTCAAGTGTTGCTGGAGTTCCTGCTAAAAAAAAAAAAGAAAAGAAAAAATAAAGAAAGAAAGAACAAATTGCACAATGTACATAAAAAATACATAAAAATTTAAAGTACAGTTGAAAGTTGGTGTTTTAGTACTAATATATGAAGGATGTCAATGAGTGAATTTGGCAAAAGAAATTCCTCTCCCAAAGGTAGGCTTTTGTGAAGGCAGATCTCCTACTACAGACACCACAATCAGTATCAGGAGGCAAAAGGTTTGTGCATTTCTAATTTTCTGCAGTCTTTGCCATTCCTTTGTTTTGTACACCTCCCTTCTTCTTTGTTCCAGCTGTGAACCAAACCAGAGAATGCAGGATAGGAGCCAAAAGGCTGTGTCTTCATCCCACCCTACTCTTGCCTCTATCTCAGTCCCTACAGAACACCCTCTGTTATTAATTCAGTGTAACAGTCTCTTCTCCCACTTAGGCCTCTTTCCATTCAGCTTGACCCGACGTAATTCCTGTCGTAAATCCAAAATACCAGTGACTCAGGCGGACTAACAAATGCAGAGGTGAGGAGGTGCTCATGTGCGGACTAATGAAGAGATTTCTGCACGCAAGCATAAAAGGTTCTCTCTCTGTAAGCAAGACATTTTGCAGAAAGAGAATATCATAAGGTCCAACATGACACCTTGCAAGATAAAGCTGGCATGCTAAAGCGTGACAGCTGCAGCCAAACAAGGTTGAGGAGCTCTGGAACAACCTTTGTTCTGGACAATTTAGAGTGCAGTGTGGGTACAGCTAAAACTAACAGACAGTCAAATCAGTCTTTCACAATCCCCCAAAGCTCAGTGTGAGCACACTGTGATCAACCAGCCATGTCTAAGCATTAGACCTAACTGTTCCCCTCTTTCCAAAGACTGCCACAGAAAGTCACAGAGTAGAGGGGAGACACTCATAGACAGGAAGAATGGCCTCTTCTTTTAGACTATGTGATATGATTATGTGATAGCTTAGTAAGAGCATGAAGAATGTGTGTGTGTGTGTGTGTGTGTGTGTGTGTGTGTGTGTGTGTGTGTGTGTGCGTGCGTGTGATATGCGACTCTGTTTGTAGCATATGCTGTAACAATGGGAGCTTAAAGATGGCATCTTTGGTCTTAGCAACAACAAACAGTGCTGTGCCAATCCTGAACAAACTACAACTTCCGTCCAAATCCTTTCAGCATTCCCTTTGACCTCTTGCTCTGTCAATCACCTCGTGGTTCAAGTGGTGTGGGAAAGGAAGGCTTTACAGGGCCTGAAGCACACCATACACACACAAAAACCAAATCAATGCTAAATAGGGACTAGAGGAAAGGCAACAAAAGATGACAACAACATTATCACAAGTGATTGCAGCCGTAGCTCACCATTTCTGACATCTTTCCAGGGGAAGCCCAGGAGGGAAAAACAGGAATGCCAAGAATAGCGTGAGGAGAAAATAGGTAAGATGCAGCTGGCCCAACATCCCTGAACATGTCATACGTATCCTGGATGAAACAGCTCACCATTTTGCCTCTTTTGCTTACCTTACTAATGACGTGCATTGGGACCTACATGCCTATTTCTTCCACATATACAACTTGCACTTGCAGAGGAAGGCGGGTGTAGGAAGAGGAAGAAAGAGGAACCAAAGGACAGACAGAAAAGGACAGAGCGTGTAACAGAAAGACAGAGATCTGCTTCCTGTTTACTGACGGCAGAGATTGCAGGAAACAAAGCACCAGGCCACAAGACTGTTAACAGTAGTGACAATACACACAGCACAGATACACACTACCTTCCCTCTTCTGTGTCCTGAGTGATTAGACAGGCCAGATTTATCATCAACTTCCCCATCCATCTCTGTGTATCTTGGTAACATCTGGATGCTTGTGATTTGTTCTTGGTTTATATCTCCCTTCTGCCCTTGTTCTAGCCAGCCGCCGTGCTAACAGGATCAAGCTTAAGCGCATGCACACCCCCAGCTGTGTGCACAAATGCTCCCGGCAACATTCACCAATCTAAGACAGACTTCCTAGCAATTCCACATGGCAGTGCAATGCACTGCTTTTGTGGTTTAGTCAAAGTGTGGATTTAATGCAGTTTCCTATCACATGAGCTAGCTTTTAGCCACACTCACTGCAAATACATTGTAATTTCTGGAAAAATATCTTTGGAAATACTTGAAAAGAAAAATGAGAAGTATTTATAATTACATTATGAAATTTAGAACACATTTCTATCTTATGATTCAGTCACACTAGAGTAAAAATAGGATGGCAAACTCCTTATGACTAGTGACTCAGTGGTTGCCTTTTTTTCTGTTGGAGTGCAAGCAATGCAAGCATACAGGCAACCTAGTAAGAGACAACCTGTCTGAAACCAATTGCAGCCCCACTCACTGATCACAATCATTCAAAGACAGACTGGCGATGGGTTGCCAATATTTGGTGTCTACTTCAAAAATGCAAACATACTGCCAACACATCACAATAAGAGTGAGGCAGTCTGTCTAGATAAGTGCAGTTTGTGAGACACATTTCTT